GAATCCGCCAACTTCAAAGCTTGTTTAAGCAATATACTTAATCAAGATCAGTGTTCAACCGACTCCATTAGAGGAGTCGGAAAAATAGAGAAAATATACTTTATTTAATGATATCTATCTTTCTAATTAGGATTTTTTGGTATTTCCTAATCAATTTAATATATGTATTCCCAGTTATATCTATATATTCTCTTCAATATTTTATTGAAGATGTTATTATGACTCGATAATATATTAAATATTTAATGTATTGTATTAAGAAAGAAAAGACTTTTCATTTTCAAGATTTTGTTAAACAAATTTCTTCCATAATTCCTTTTATTCATCATAACATTATAACTGTAAAGTTATAATCTACATATTCTATACCTTTATGATACCTGAGGTAATCAAATTATGGCCAAAAGTAAAGACGTAAGAATTACTGTTACTTTAGAATGTACAGTTTGTCCACAAAATAGAAATAAACGTTTTCCTGGTGTTTCAAGATATACCACAAAAAAAAATCGTCGTAATACTCCGAATAGATTGGAGTTAAAAAAATTCTGTCCTCATTGTAACACACATACAATTCACAAAGAAATTAAAAAATAATAGAAGATAAATGAAATGGGAGATCACTATGAAAAAATTCGTTAGTAGACCAAAAAGATCGTCTAGACGCCGTAAAAAAACACCTATAAAACCAGGAGAAAGCATTGATTACAAAAATGTTGGTTTATTGCGTAAGTTTATTAGTGAACAAGGAAAAATTTTATCTAGACGTGTTAATCGATTAACATCAAAACAACAACGTGCTATGACAAGAGCTATTAAAGCAGCTCGTATATTAGCGTTATTACCTTTTTTAAATAATGAAAGTTAATCGTTGTGTAAATTGTGAAAAAAAGTAGTCAATTTATATACTTCTTCTTAAAAAAACAGGCAAAGAGATAGTAACTTGAATTTTTTTTTAAATTTCATCCATTGAAAATATCTTTTTGCCCACTCATATTATTTAGGGGTTCCAAGAAATGGATGACCCCTTATTGCATTTATCAAATAAATCATTTTTTTCGGTAGGCTTAGGAATAAGGAATAAGGAATAAGGAATAAGGAATAAGGAATAAGGAATAAGGAATAAGGAATAAGGAATAAGGAATAAGGAATAAGCAATAAGGAATAAGGAATAAGGAATAAGCAATAAGGAATAAGGAATAAGCAATAAGGAATAAGGAATAAGCAATAAGCAATAAGCAATAAGGAATAAGGAATAAGGAATAAGGAATAAGCAATAAGCAATAAGCAATATGCAATGAATTTTCCTGATAAAAAGATTTCTAATAGCTCTTGTTAGATTTTAAGACCTAGCAAGAGCTTTTTGCATTCTGATAATCATTCCTTGGTCATATGCAAAAAAAATATATAGAAATAATTTTGCTAAACACTATTCAATAACCCGTTAAAACCATCTTTATCTAAAACTGCTATTTGTGCAATCATCTTACGATTAATGGAAATTTTAGATGTATAGAGTTTGTTAATAAATCGACTATAAGAAAGCCCTTTTTGACGTACTGCAGCATTAATACGAGTAATCCATAATTTTCTAAAATCTCTTTTCCTTCTACTTCTATCTCTCTTAGATGAAACCAATGCTTTCATAACCTGTTGTTTTGCAGGTCTAAATAACCTTGAATGCGCACGACGAAATCCTGAGGCACATTCAAGAATACGATTACGGCGTTTTCTAGCTACGTATCCACGTTTAACTCTTGTCATTCTAAGTTTTTTATATAATAAAAATATTTATAACATAATATTATACTACTAAGAAAATTTTCCATATCCTCGTACAGGATACAATATCTCTTTATGAGAAATTATGTTATCTAAAAATATAGGTCTAATGTAGGGGAAAGGATCATAATGGCATTTGCTTCTGTAACCTTCCTTTGTATAAAGGCCTTAGTTCAGGTAACTCCTCAGAAAACAAGGGGGAATGCCTTGTGCTGAGAGCATTTATACATTACTTTGTTTCCATAAATTTTCTTATGACGGTAAGATTCTCTCTTTACACTGAAGCTAATTTTGTTCCTGATAGGAATTAAATAAGAGTGCAATTGAAAACCTGTACAAGATTCAATCTTTCGCTTTCTTATGTTGTATGCTAAGTACCTTATTTCTGACATAGATACTTAGAAAATATGAACAGTGTTTTATTACGAGAGTTCGCTGAGCAGCTAACCTTATGAATCCGTTATTGCAATGAACAACACATATTGTCTATTAATACTATATTTGTTCGTCTTTCTCGCTTCACGGATTGATGACCAGTCACTACCGTGGAGAAAGTGCATTCTATCTTGCACTAAGATGATTGGATTTACACCAAGGAAATTTATGAATTCCACCTATAAAAAAAATAAGTGGCAGATCCATACTCTAAAAATTCCTAGATTCTTCTGTCATATCGATTCTAGGTTTTTACTAGTTTAGATCTGAACAAATCACACATACACTCTAGTACATACTCCTCTTCTTTGAGGACAAGCTCGAAGGGCTGGAGACTTGGTTCTATTTTCTGCAGGTTGTCTGCTATGTCTAATAAGTTGTTGAATGGTAGGCATAAATTGTTTGAACAGAAATGTTCAGTTGAGATGAATCTTAACCACATTCTGTTTTGAACCAAAAAGAGAAAAATGATGTTAAGAAAGATTAGCTACTGAAAAATCTAAGGTAACTATAAGAGAACTATAGAGATTTTCTATCATTATTATAAAACATCTGGAGTAGAATCATTATCTGCTGCTACTAAATCTACAATTCCATATGCTTGGGCTTCTTTTGCAGACATAAAAACATCTCTTTCCATATCTTCAGAAATTACCCATGCTGGCTTCCCAGTACGCTGAACATAGACTCTTGTAATAGAATCTCGTAATTTCAAAACTTCTTCAGCTTCCATCATGCATTCACCTGCTTGCCCATCATAATAAGAACTAGCTGGTTGGTGAATCATTACTCTAGCATGAGGTAGGGCTAGACGTTTAGTAATTTCTCCTCCAGTTAAGATAAAAGAACCCATAGAAGCTGCTAGGCCCATACAGATAGTATGCACATCTGGTACTACAAATTGCATAGCATCATATACTGCAATTCCAGCCAAGACTGCTCCACCAGGAGAATTGATGTACATAAACATATCCTTACTTTCATCTTCTCCATTCAAATACATCATAATACCAATCAATTGATTAGCAATCTCATCATCTACATTCTGACCTAAAAAAAGTAATCTTTCACGATACAATCGATTATACACGTCTACCCAAACTGCCTCTTCTTCTCCAGGAAGACGAAAAGGGACCCTTGGAACACCAATAGGCATAATGTTAATTTAGTAATTAAATTGTATATACTCCCCTATATACACTATAGTACTATAGTGTCGTTAATTAGATGTTACATATTGCAATATGTTTTTTGTGTAAGATATAGAAATGTTTTTTCATTTAGAAAAAAACAAAAATTTTTTTTTCAAAAATTCCACAAACATTTGAACAAAAGCTTTTTGTCTACTTTCTATAGTATGTTTGTCTACTATACAGTATTTTTTTGTAAAAATATAGAATATTTTTTTGTAAAATTTTTTTAAGCAGTTTATGTACTTAAATAAATTAGAGTACGAAATGGATTTCTTTTCCTCTTCTTTGTTGTATTTTACACTAGAAATTTTTGAATTCAAACCATTTTCTATGTTGTGATGATAAACAAAAAATGTTACAATAAATACGGTTATATCAACAACAAGAGACCATAAAAAAATTGCGTTTAGAAAAAGATCACTATAGGGAAATAGTGCCTGGGATGTTGAAAATAAATAGCAAACGCAATAGGTCATCTTAGTGCAAGAGAGTCACAGAATGTCTAATTCTCTCTGAGAAAGAGGTGTTACCCATGGGTTTGCCTTGGTATCGTGTACATACAGTTGTTTTAAATGATCCCGGTCGTTTGATTGCTGTGCATATCATGCACACTGCTCTAGTTTCTGGATGGGCTGGTTCTATGGCTTTGTATGAACTAGCAGTTTTTGACCCTTCTGATCCTGTTCTTGATCCAATGTGGAGACAAGGCATGTTTGTAATTCCTTTCATCACTCGATTGGGAGTTACTAAATCATGGGGTGGCTGGAGTATCACTGGAGAAACCGTTAATGATGCTGGTCTATGGAGTTACGAAGGTGTAGCAGCTGTTCATATTGTTCTTTCTGGACTATTATTCCTAGCAGCAATTTGGCACTGGGTTTACTGGGATCTTGAACTATTCCGTGATGAGAGAACTGGCAAACCTTCCTTAGATTTACCTAAAATCTTTGGAATTCACCTTTTCTTATCTGGAGTACTTTGCTTTGCTTTTGGTGCGTTTCACGTAACTGGTTTATTTGGTCCTGGCATCTGGGTTTCTGATCCATATGGAATTAGTGGAAGTGTACAACCTGTAGCTCCAGCTTGGGGTGCAGAAGGATTCGATCCTTTTAACCCAGGTGGTATTGCGTCACACCATATTGCAGCAGGTATTTTAGGAATTCTAGCAGGATTATTCCACCTAAGTGTTCGTCCTCCTCAGCGTCTTTATAAAGGATTGCGTATGGGGAACATTGAAACCGTACTATCTAGCAGTATTGCAGCAGTTTTTTGGTCAGCTTTTGTAGTAGCTGGAACTATGTGGTATGGTAGTGCAGCAACTCCTATCGAACTATTTGGGCCTACTCGTTATCAATGGGATCAAAACTATTTCCAAGAAGAAATTGAAAGACGTGTTCGTGCTAGTCAAGCTGAAGGGTTAAGTCTATCTGAAGCTTGGTCTAAGATTCCTGAGAAACTAGCATTCTACGATTACATTGGAAATAACCCTGCTAAAGGAGGACTATTCCGTGCAGGTGCTATGGATAATGGAGACGGTATTGCAGTAGGCTGGTTAGGTCATGCTGTATTTACAGATAAAGAAGGTAATGAACTATTTGTTCGTCGTATGCCAACTTTCTTTGAAACCTTCCCTGTTGTTTTACTAGATAAAGACGGAGTAGTTCGTGCAGACGTTCCTTTCCGTAGAGCAGAATCTAAATATAGTATTGAACAAGTAGGTGTAACTGTACAATTTTACGGTGGAGAACTAGACGGTGTAAGTTTTAGTGATCCTACTACTGTGAAAAAATATGCAAGACGTGCACAATTAGGTGAAATTATTGAATTTGACCGTGCTACTCTTAAATCTGATGGGGTATTCCGTAGTAGCCCAAGAGGATGGTTCACATTTGGACATGCTAATTTAGCATTCTTATTCTACTTTGGCCATATCTGGCATGGTGCTAGAACTCTATTTAGAGACGTATTCTCTGGAATTGATCCTGATCTTGAAGCACAAGTAGAATTCGGTCTTTTCCAAAAACTTGGAGACCCAAGCACCAAGAGACAAGCTGTATAGATATAAATATCTGTACTCAGTTCTATTTATGTATCTTAGTATGTATCAATGAATCTATAAAAAGATTCAAAAAATCGATTAGTACGAAAGCTATTTTCACACATTTTACTACAAATCATATTTATGGAAGCCCTGGTTTACACTTTTCTGTTGGTCAGTACTCTAGGCATTATCTTCTTTGCAATCTTCTTCAGAGAGCCACCAAAGGTGCCTGTAAAAGGGAAGAAATAGGCCTATATTAGACTTAACCTTGTAATTTTTTTTGTATCCTATTTATCTATTTGTATAGTAATACAAGGATCATCTTATTCTTTTCAATATGAATTATAGGGTGGCCCTCCCCGTATTCCTGTGAAGTTTGGGAAAGGCCTAGAAAATTAATCTTCGTGTTCCTCAAATGGATCGCGAAGTTCTTTTGAAGGCTGTCCAAAAGCTGTATACAGGGCATAACCAGTAAAACTTACAAGCAGACAAGATATAAAGATAACTACCAAGGTTGCTGTTTCCATTTTCAGGTAATTCCTCAAGAATGAGAATGTTTGGTTTCCACTATGATAGTACACAAAGTCAACAAATCTCAACCAATGAGTAATAAGATTTATGGCAACACAGATCATTAAAGATTCTACCAAGGGCAGAAGAACCGCTGTTGGTGACATATTAAAGCCACTTAATTCCGAATATGGTAAAGTAGCTCCAGGATGGGGCACTACTGTACTTATGGGTGTATTTATCGGATTATTTGCTGTATTTTTGGTTATAATTCTAGAATTATACAATGCTTCTGTAGTTTTAGATGGTATCCCAGTAAGTTGGCAATAAGTACGGTAATGCTTCAATTTCTCACAAACTGATAATTCTCATTACAGTTTAAGGGAATTCTTTTCTGACGAGAAGACTAGGAAAATGAAGGGGGTATAATTACTCAAGAATTTTTCCTGGTCTTCTTATTCATATTAATTAAAGTAGAAACACGACAATATTCCCAAATGATACTAATTAGTACATAGGGAGAAAAAAGACTTTTCTCTTTTTCTTATGGAAGTTCAACTGCGTAATTATGTAAATGGAGAATGTCTGCATTATGGGTAAGGTATACGATTGGTTTGAAGAACGTTTGGAAATTCAGGCAATTGCTGATGACGTTACCGACAAATATGTTCCACCTCATGTCAATATTTTCTATTGCTTAGGAGGAATTACTTTTACCTGTTTTATCATTCAAGTAGCGACAGGCTTTGCTATGACCTTTTACTATCGTCCTACTGTAACCGAGGCTTTTGCTTCTGTTCAATACATTATGACCGAAGTTAACTTTGGTTGGTTAGTTCGATCAGTACACAGATGGTCTGCTAGTATGATGGTAATGACTATGATTTTACACATATTCCGTGTGTATTTAACTGGAGGCTTCAAAAAACCTCGTGAACTTACTTGGGTTACAGGAGTTCTTTTAGCAGTATTAACTGTTTCTTTTGGTGTAACTGGTTACTCTTTACCTTGGGATCAAGTTGGGTATTGGGCTGTAAAGATCGTTACAGGAGTACCTGACGCTATTCCGGTAATTGGAGCACCTTTAGTTGAATTACTGCGTGGAAGTGTAAGCGTAGGACAATCTACATTAACTCGTTTTTACAGCTTGCATACATTTGTATTACCACTTCTAACAGCTGTCGTTATGTTAATGCATTTCCTGATGATTAGGAAACAAGGTATTTCTGGTCCACTATAAACAAGTATATGGAGTTGCCATATATAATGTATTAAGAAAAGATTCTGATATTTTTTCTAGACATTACATTCGAGGGGCGCATTGCCATGAAGCAAGTATTTAATATACCTATATCATGGATTAGTTTGCTGTATCGTTCTGAACAGTTTACTTGTTTATAGTATCGACACAGTTTTTTTACATAAAAAGGAGTTTAGATTATGGGAGTCATCAAGAAACCTGATTTGACTGATCCTGTACTACGAGCAAAACTAGCGAAAGGTATGGGACATCACTACTATGGAGAACCAGCTTGGCCTAATGATTTATTATATATGTTCCCAGTATGTATTCTTGGAACAATTGCTTGCAATGTTGGACTAGCAGTTTTAGAACCTTCTATGATGGGAGAACCTGCTAATCCTTTTGCTACTCCTCTAGAAATTTTACCTGAATGGTATTTTTTCCCTGTATTCCAAATCCTACGTACAGTTCCTAATAAATTATTAGGAGTTTTGTTAATGGCTGCTGTGCCTGCAGGCCTTTTAACTGTTCCTTTCTTAGAAAATGTAAATAAATTTCAAAATCCATTCCGTCGTCCAGTAGCTAGCACTGTATTTCTTATTGGAACTGTTGTAGCTGTTTGGTTAGGTATTGGAGCAGCTTTACCTATTGATCAATCTCTAACCTTAGGACTTTTCTAAGGATTTTTTTTTGATTTTTTTTACAGACTGGTGATCAACACCTCAGTTTGTAAATTAGACTACACAAAAAAGAAAAAGACAACCATTTGTTGTAGCTGAAATATATTTCAGCTACAACAAATGGTTGTCTTTTTTATTTTTTGCAAGAAAGTTGTAATCCGAAACGTTCTTGCAAAACCATAACAACTTGTTCAACTGATTTTCTGCCAAAATTTTTAATCTTAAGAAGATCTTCTTGAGTATAAGATACTAAATCTGATAATGTGTGTATATTAGCTCTTTTTAAACAATTATATATTCTAGGAGATAATTCTAATTGATCAATAGATATATTAGTTGTATTCATGATATCTTCCATAGGTCTATCCAGTGATAATACTGTGTCAATAGTAGTATTTAATACATGACCTGATTGATCGGAAGTATGAATATTTTTATATACTACATTATGATCTATAGAATTCGAATTATTAGTTTTCAATACGTTTTTAGATGGAATGGGCGGTGTAATGGTATAAAATAAATTAAGTATACTATTATGAGCTTGATATAATGCTTCTTCTGGAGTTAAGCTTCTATTAGTCCATATTTCTAATAATAATAACTGCTGTCTTTCTTTTGCTTCTCCTAAAGAATAAATACTGAAATTTGCTTTTTGAACTGGAGTAAATCTAGCATCGATACGAAAAAAACCTTCTTCTGGCTTGACATTATCATTTATGTAATTCCCTTTGCCTTCGCTAATCAGTAATTCAATACACAATTGAGTATGTTTACTTAAGGTAGCTATGTACTGATCAGGATCTACAACACTGATACAAGATGGTAAATTAATATGTCCAGCAGTTACTACACCTGGACCTTGTGCAAATAAAGAAGCACTTTGCTTGTTTGTTACTCGACCTTTTAAAACTATTTGTTTAAGATTCATTAGAATCTCATCGATAGATTCACGCACTCCTTCTAAAGTAGAATATTCATGCACAGTTCCTACAATTTTGGCTGATGTAATACCAAGTCCTTCAACTTCTGATAACAAGGCTCGCCGCATAGCTACTCCTATAGTCATAGCTTGATCAACTAATAATGGAGATAAAGCAAAACGGCTATAATGTAAACGGCGATTTTTTCCTTGTTCATCATCTACACATTTCCATTCCGGACAAATACGTATGGTGCTACTATTTTTTTCCATATTCTCGTTTCTCTGTTTATATAATAGATATATGTTTTATACGCGACGTTGACTAGAAGGTCTACAACCATTATGTGGCATAGGGGTTACGTCTCGAACAAAACTTAATGCAATACCACTGTTACGGATAGCTCTTAAGGCTGTATCTCGTCCTGGTCCAGGACCACTAATCATAACTTCAGCTTGTCTCATACCTTGATCAATTAATAAAGAAATAGCATTTTCAGCAGCAGTCTGGGCTGCAAAAGGTGTACTCTTCTTAGCCCCTTTAAATCCACAAGATCCAGCAGAAGACCAAGACATTGTTTGTCCTCTAATATCAGTTACAGTGACAATTGTATTATTAAAGCTTGCTTGAACATGGATAACTCCTTTAGGAGCTCGTTTTTTCCCTTTACGAAGACTAATTTTTTTAGAAGGTTTTGCCATAATATTTAATTGTACTTGATAATCAATTTTTATTAATTCATGATTCATAAAAGAAGTTTAGATAATTTCTATTTGTAGATAACTATAGAAATTCTTCCTAAGAAATAATTGTTCAGAATATATACACAATGATCTGCAACTTTCAAAAACAAGATGATCGAATACTAAAGAAATTAGGATACGAGAAAATAGAAAATGGAATCATGAATATATTATCCTTGACGTTGTTTGTGTTTAGGATTTGAACAAACCACCATAACTCTACCTCGTCTACGAATCAAACGACAATTTTCACAAATCTTGCGAACTGAAGCTCGTACTTTCATATTTTTATAATCTCCACAAATTTTCTATTTTTTCTATTATAAGAAGAATATGAATATCAAATATATACCTTAATATGAAGTAATTCAGGATTCTCTATACTTTTAGTATTCGAGTTATGTACTAATTTGATTGAATCAACTTCAACTAAGATTTTTATAAATTCTAAAAAGAATAATACATAAAAAATATGATTTTTAGCAAAGTTATCCATTAGGAGATCTTGTACGAAGCCTATAGGTAATACGTCCTTTGGTCAAGTCATATGGGCTTAATTCAACTTTAACCCTATCTCCCAATAAGATGCGTATATAATTTTACGAATCTTGCCCGAAATATGAGCCAGTACTTGGCAACCATTATCTAAGCAGACTCGAAACATAGCATTTGGAAGAGACTCTGTAACTACTCCTTCCATTTCGATTAAATTCTGCTTCCTCATGGATTTCCTCTATTTATAACTGGCTATGTTTGTATAAAACCGAGCTCATAAGATTAACTTATTATGAGTTTCTTAAACTTCTAATAACTACTCTTATGAGTTGAAAAAACTGAGTATGTAAATGGCATAAGGATTACCAAACATAGCACAATATTTCTCCCCCGATTTGTTTTTCCACGTGCCTCTCGATCAATCAAAATACCTTGAGAAGTGGATAAAATGACAATTCCCATTCCTCCTAAAACTCTCGGGATATCTTTGTGATTGGAGTAGACTCTAAGACCAGGTTTGCTAATACGTCTGACTGTAGTAATATAAGGTTTACGCCTACGGCCTTGATATCTTAATGTAATAACTAATAAACGTCTGATACCTTCTTGACGTTCTCTAAGTTCTTCTATAAATCCTTCTTGTAATAATATTTTGCCAATACTTCGAGTCGTATTAGTTGCTAATACTTCGACAGTTTTGGTTTTCTTAAATTAGCATTACGTATACACGTAATCATATTGGCTATAGTATCGTTGCTCACGGTGACTCCTTATTTTTTGTGCACTGTAAAGAATAGAAATATATTAGACCTCACTTATCTGTAATATAGGACAATAAAAAATAATTAATATTTATTTGAGAAAAAAATATCTATGATTGTCACTAATTTTGTTTTCATATATGGTATAGCCACATATATAATGAAAGATTGAGTACGTTTAAGTATGAAAATGGCAGTGCTTTAGAAAAATTAGACAAGACTAATAAGAAAACACATTGACTTAAATTAAAATTATATTGATATATATAATAAAATATTTAGCATAAAAGTGCAAGATCTTTTGGATCATATCATAG